GAAGAGGCAGCATTGAGTGGCCTCCACGATCACCGGATTTATCGCCCCTTGATTTCTTTTTGTGGGGATACCTAAAAAGTAAAATCTATAAAACACAGCCAGCGTCGCTGGAAGATTTGCGTCAAAGAATCGTCGACGAATGCCGTCGAATCACTCCGGAAATGCTTCGGAATGTGCGCGAACGTTTCGAACAAAATCTTTATTCTTGTATGGAAGCGGGCGATCATCACTTTGAACATTTAATCAACTAAGTAGTAAGTAAGCAACTAAACATAATTTAAATTTTAAAATGTAATTTTTTTTCAAAATATTGGGCGGAATTATAAAATTTAAAGTCTGTTGTAAAGAGAATTGTAAGAGCTTTCAAAAGAAATATTACTCAACCCCAATGCCATTTAAATATTTTGGGGTGATGCTTACCCTTGCTTGGGGGTAAAAGTGGCGGAGTCAAAAATACCAGCAAAGAATGTTCCGCTTTAATCTAAACAAGACGGGTCTGAGCGTTTTTCTACAATCTTGACGCAGTTCCTGAAAATGGCTCTGTTTCGTTTTCATTTGACCACCCTGTATAGTAAAGACTATGATTGCAGGTCGTTAGGTTAGGTTAGGTTGACTTAAAATATTTAGACTCGTATCTTCAAACGGATATTCAAGATCTTAAGTTTTAATAATTCTGCTTCTGAGATCAAATCACGATTTATTGCAACTGATGCAATTATCAATGATGATGGCCAAATAAATTTGTGTAAAGGAAAGATGGTTATTTTTGGAATTCCGGAACAGAATAAGCAACTATCGATCGGTTGGATGTATCTCTAAAGAATCGATGTCTTTAATGATACTAAATATCACTTGCTCGTTGAAAATGATAAATTTGTTAAACATTACTTAAAGAAATCAAGAGTTCTGAAGAGATATCGCCCTTTACTGAAGATGTACTGTTCATTTGTCCCACTTAGTGAATATTATCTAAGCACACATAAAGTGTGCCTGGCTGCAATCAGGGCTTCCCAGTGGGATTTCGAGAAAATTTCGAAACATGCGTGAAATTTTGTTTGCTCGCTGTGCGTCTTCCGATATGCGTCGTAGATCGTCTGAGGTTTCTTGTCCATTTTCACTCATACTTTTGGCAGAATTTGTGCCGCGTGATTGACTTTTTGAAGGTATATTGAATTATTTTTGAAAACACTGGTAAAAATTTTAAGTCCGCTCTAGACGCTCCAGACAACTAGAAAGGAAAATTCAATTTGATTGCAAACTAGATTAATATAACACTGCGTACACCTGACTTCATAAAAGAGCTTGGGGTTACATTTAAGAAGGCTTTATCTTTTGTAAAATTCAAGATGATTCACAAATGGTGACCAAAAATAAAACCTCGTATTCTTTGGTGAATTTTAAGGGTAGTCTTTCCTATAAAGTTTTTATCTAGGACGTTTCTTTAAAAAGATACAGGGTGTTAAACTTCAAAAAATATTTTTAATTTTTTTATTTAATTTAAAAACTAGTAAGTGAAATAATTTCAAATTGGGCACATGTATTTATGTAAACATTGTCCAAAATCTGAGGTCTTTTTCCTAAAATTTACATGCTCCAGTGGCGGAGATACAGGGTATCGGTGGCATATTTTTCTAAATAAAGTAGTACGCCACTGCTTTACTGTAACAACCATGATATTTTCGGATTCGTTTTTCAATTTTCTACAAATTACTACTCTCTTATGTTTTTCGAAAAAAAGCCTGATTTTCGAGTAAAACTTAAAAAACGAACTGAGAACACACTTCGACATTCGAATAAAATGCGGTTTAAAATTAAATAGTAGGCTGCGATAGTAATTTTGATAATTTGAGTAGTTAGAAGAAAGAATAAATAATGCTTGTTTCATAAGATTCAAGCAACAATAAATTTTGAATAAATTACATTTTCGTTATTAAAAAGCCTGTGTTCGTGCAAATGGAAGTATTTTTGAGTATTTACACAAATAAAATCATTAAAATGATGACTAATGTTATTGATTCCTATATTCGAATAAATAACCAAATGATTAGTGCTTGTCATGTCATTTAAGTAGAATTGTTTTCAGTTGTTTTTTTAAGTTTTACTCGAAAATCAGGCTTTTTTCAAAAAAACAAGGGATTAGTAATTTGTAGAAAATTGAAATACGAATCCAAAAATACCATGGTTGTTACCGTAATGCAGTGGCGTACTCGAAAAATATGCCACCGATACTCTGTATTTCCGCCACTGGAGCATGTAAATTTTATGAAAAGCCCTCAGATTTTGGACAATAAATACATGTACCCAATATCAAATTTTTTTCACTTATTAGTTTTTAAATTATTTTAAAAAATTAAAAATATTGTACTGTGTCTTTTTAACGAAGCGTCCTAGATAAAAATTTTATATGAAATACTCCCCTTAAAATTCACCAAAGAATGCGAGGTTTCATTTTTAGTCACCATTTGTGAATCACCCTGTATATTTACATAATAACACCACCTGTATTCAAATATTTTGGTTACATCATAAGAAATATTGTTAATATTTTTACACAACGATTGCTGTACATTGCGCTTATTCGTTTTAAATTAAATTAAAATCATCAGTAGTCTGGAGCCCAGCTATTTTTGTATAAGATTCTCCATAATATTTATTATTATTATTATTATTATTATTATTATTATTATTATTATTATTATTATTATTATTATTATTATTATTATTATTATTATTATTATTATTATTATTATTATTGTTATTATTATTGTTGTTGTTGTTATTATTATTATTATCAATTATTATCATTATACAGGGTGGTCCGAATTTTATGCAGGAAACTTCAAGGGCAGATAGATCTTTTTAAAATAATATGTGTTTGCCTTATAAACATTGGTCTGGGACGTCCCCGTTTTGAGATACAGGGTGTTGAAGTTGTTAAAAAAATGTATTTTTTGTTTATATCTGCGGAATCTATTAACCGATCTGAATAAAATTTGGTACAGATAATGTATGATAGTATGCCTTACATTTCCTAAAATATGAGCTTTAAAGGTTCAACCAGTGGTGTACAACTGGACGGGGGGCACCTCTTTTTCATACAAAAAACCTTACGCCACTGCATTTTTTACAAGTCATTGCAACTGATTTACATTCTAATGCAAAATACGCAAAAATGGCGACTTTATTTTTTTCTCTAAGATTCGCCGTTCTCACGTTATTTATACCAATACAATCCACTTGTGACAGACACTTCTGACCATAATATTACAAGAATATTTATGTTTATGCTTAAAAGTAAGTGCAGTTAGTAAGCACATCAACTAAATTATTTACACTCCTTTCTACACCACTTGTGAGGTAGTGTTCCTGGCGTGTTTTAGTTTTCCCTGGAGGCCTAATACTCTTTACAAAGAAGAACAATTTAAATCAAATCAAATTAAATCGATCTATTCGTTGCAGTAGTTGTGGTCTTGTATCTGTTGGAGTAGAATAAATTTTACTTTTCAGATAATCTCAAACATAGAAGTCCAGGGGGTTTAGATATGGCTATCTGGCTGGCCAAGACACTGGACCCTCTGCATCGTTATGGTTGATATTGGCAATTGGTCTTCTACCTATCCATCGCCCCATATAATTTTCATTAAGCCATTTTTATATTATTCTTCCAGAATGCGCAGGAGCACCATCCATTGTATCCAGCTATTTTGTCGTATATTTAATGGAACATCCTCTAATAATTCAAATAGATGATTTTTTAGAAGGTTTAGAAATGATTGGGAATTTGGACGGGGCGGCAAGAAGAAAGGTCCCCAAACTTTATTGCGAATTATTCCAAGCCATACGTTAACAGAAAATTCGTGCTGAAAAGATCTTGTCCGAATTTCATAAAGATTTTCTTGTGACCAAATATGCAGATTGTGAAAATTCACTACCCGTCGCCTTTGGTAAATGTACATTTATTATTATTTTGATTTAGGTTGTTCTTATTTTTTGTAAAGATAGTGGGTTAGGCTTCCAGGGGAAACTAAAACGCATAAGGATATCTACCTCACAGGTGGTGTGGAAACGAGTGTAAAGGATTTTGTTGATGTGCTTACAAATTCCACTTATTTTAAGTATAAACATAAATATTCTTGTAATATTATGGTTAGAAATGTCTGTCACAAGGGGATTGTATTGGTATGAATAACTTAATAAAAATGGCGAATCTTAGGGAAAAAATTCAAGTTTACCTTTCTTACGTATTTTTTATAAAAAAGGAGATGACCCCTGCCCAGTTGTACACCACTGGTTGTACCTTTAGAGCTCATATTTTGGGAAATGCAAGACCTACTATCATAGAATCTGTACCAAATTTTTTTGTGATCGATTAGTAGATTCCTGAAATATAGACAAAAAATCATTTTTTTTAACAAATTCAACATCCTGTATATCTAAAGCGGGGCCGTTCCAGACCAATGTTTATAAGGAAAACACATATTATTTTAAAGAGACCTATCTGCCTTCGAAGTTTCCTGCAGAAAATTCGGACCACCCTGTTTAGATTTCGTTACTAATTAATTAATTTTTTTAATAAATTAATTATTTACCTTTGCAGGAAATTTTGAGGCTTTTAGAACACCACAAATTGGGCACCGATGCTAGAACAGCTGCGTACATGATTGGCATAGAGAACATTTTTAAAGCCATATACTACCAGAAAATAATCATTTAAAACAAAATGTTACTTCATGAAATTATTTATTCATAAAAATGTACATCTATTTCATTTATATACAAGTTTGTATACGATGTGAAAATATATTTGTAATACTATAAGGGCATATTAATATTTAAATAATGGCATTAGTAATATTTACAAAATAATTCACTTCTACTCGAAATTACTTTATATATTTTTTTTGCTATGCGAAATAATGGTAACTCTTTCTCATTAGACTGTCGGTAAGTAGTCTCTAGTTGGTTGATGTGGCTGGGGAGATCCAGGGAAAAGTGAGCCTGATCCGTTTGGAAGAGATGGTACGGAACTAACTGGAAAGCCTGCTGGCGTTACAGTTGGATATCCACTTGGTCCTTGAGGACTTGATACACTTATTCCAGGTCGTTGAGTTTGAGATGTAGGACCTTCAGGGACTCCATACTGTGGAAGTTTTTGTCTATCTGGTGCAGCTGGACGGCCTGATGGAAAACCTACACCTTGTGAACCTTCGCTTGGCTGTCTACCTGGTTGGAATACACCAACTGATCCTGGTCCTCCAAATTGTCCTGGTGCAGAAATTTGAGATCCACCGGTCCCTGATGGTCTTACATTTGGATAACCTTGAGTTTGAGCGTTTGATGATCTATCTGGATATCCTGTTGAGGTAGATTCAGCAGGACCTTCAAATCCCGAAACACCACCTGCAGGTCGTTCTCCGCCAGGGAATTGACTTCCTCCTGTTTCTTGTGGTCTTCCATTTGAATATCCTACCGAACTAGGTTGAATAGAGTCCTGAGGTCTTTTATTCGGGTATCCTCCCGGTTTCTGAACTTCGTTACTAGGTCTCTGGAATCCTCCACTAGGATATTCTTGTGTTCCTTGTGAAGTTGTACTTGGATATCTGCTAGTAGATTGAGGTCTGCCACTAGGATATCCTTCAGGTTTCTGAACTCCACTGCTAGGTCTTTGCAATCCACCACTAGGGCGTTCTTCTATTCCTTGTGAAGTTCCACCTGGATATACACCAGTAGATTCTTGAGGCCTACCACTGGGATATCCTCCAGGTCGCTGAACTCCGCTACCGGGTCTTTGTTGTCCTCCGCTAGGATATTCTTGCGAATTTGTACTTGGATATCCACTAGTAGGTTCCTGAGGTTTGCCACTAGGATAGCCTCCAGGTCTTTCAACTACACTGCTAGGCCTTTGCAATCCTCCACTAGGACGTTCTTCTGTTCCTTGCGTTGTTACACCTGGATATCGGCCAATGGATTCTTGAGGTCTACCGCTAGGATAATCTCCAGGTCTTTGAATTCCAGTGCTAGGTCTTCTACTTGAACCAGGTCCAGTTGGTGCTATAGATTCTTCACCAGGGTACCCTCCTGGTCTAACACCGCCAAAATCAGTGCCTGGACCTTGACCTGCAACACCGGTACTAGGAAAGCCTTCTGACAAATCTGGATAGTCTTGTCCCGGAACTGGAATGCCGCCGGTCTTTTGCGCCCCAGTTATAGAGAAGTCGTAAATATTCTCATTGACCCTGTAAAGTGAAGGTGCAGCGTCACAATCGAATTGATTCCACCAAACACAGACAAGGTGTTCTTGATGAAATATAGTGCCATTTGGACAAAGGAAGTCATACGTTTTATTATTCGCGCAAATGTGGAATATTTGACACCTGGTTTCAACATCAGCATAGTAGCCACGATATTCCTGGTCATCGCAATCAAATGAAGTTTCAGGTACCTCGGATAAAATGGGGTAGTCTCTTCCAGGTTGACCAGGAATAGCAGAGTAATCTCCTTCATCTTCCTCAAAACTACTTTCTCCATTATAATATCTAGGTTGGCCGGGTACGGAATCTCGTGGACCTTGAGCAGATTCACGAGAAAATCCTTCTTGAGTAGCTCCTTCTAAAGCATGTCCACGTTCAGATGACCCTGTAGCTCCTGGTTGACCGAATTGTGAAGTTGATGGTTTTCCAGGTCTTGAATATCCATTAGTTCCTTGCTGTGGACCAGATTCACCAGAGGTAAACTGTGATCCAAATGGTCTTCCACCACTAGGTATTCTTCCAGTTGGAGTGCCAGACGCATCAAATCCAGAGCTTACAGGTTGTTGTGGAAATCCAGATGGTTTTCCATCAAAAGATACTCCTCCGCCAGGCTGAGTGGACCCACCAAATCCATTTCCAAAACCAGTAGATTTATCTGAACGTCCAAAAGGAAGTCGTGATGTAGATGGTGCACGTGAACCAAACGAAGTGGTACCACTAGAGGGGAACTGTGAAGCGGGAGTTTCAGATAATGGAAGTCCGCCAGTTCCGCTTCCTCTTTCTCCAGGGGGAAGATAACTACTCAGAGGTCGTTGTCCATTTTGTGGATAACTCGTAGAGCCTGGTTTACCTTGTGATGCAGAAGAGGACTGTGATGGAATCTGTGGTCTAGCTGGTTTACCAGTATCAGAAAGTTCATTAGATTTTAAATCAGGTGTCTGTTGCTGTGTGGTTATATCAGAATAACCATTTACTTGTCCTGTTGGTTCTCTTGGGAAACCTGGTCCATCTAAGGATCCAGTAGTTTGGACAAATCTATCAGAAGGAAACTGTGATCCTGTTGGCCTTCCTGTCTGAGAATATCCTACTCGCCCTTTAGAAGGTTCTTGTTCTCTAGAGAATCCAGAAGATGGTGTTACTGCATTGGACTGAAACTGCCCTTCTGTGGTTCCTTCTGATCTAGGACCGTTAGTTTGTCCAATAGGGAATTGTTCAGTTGGTCTTCTTTCTCCAGTGAAGTCACCCCTTCCTTGTTTTCCAGTGGGTCTTTCACTTTGTGCACCACCTGGATATTTTGCTTCTGCTCCAGGATATCCAACTGAACCCTGTGGACGTCTTGATTGAAAGTATCCGTTTGGTACCTGTTGTTCTGTGGTTGATGGTCCAGAAGAAGTCAATTGCGTACTTGGGTTTGGATAACTACCTAAAATAGGTCCAGCAACTTCACCAGAAGGGAATTGTGAACTTCCTGTTAGACCAGGTCTGTTACTAGCTGTTGATACACTTGGTCTTTGTTCGAAACCCGAGGAAACACCAGGACGATTTTCTCTAGGTTGACCTTCTCCCGCGAAAGATTTTTGTGGTTCAGGATAATTATAGCCTTGTTGATTTTGCCGTGGAAGGTTATCTTGTGGCCTACCATTTACTGAAGGTATATTTAATCCAGGGCGTTGAGAATCACCGATTCTACCAGCTTCTGGCCTCTGTTCCCCAAGAAAGCCAGTTGAAGGTCCTTGTGTTCCTGAAGATAAAGCAGATCCCGGATAACCTGGTTGTTGAGAATCAACGATTTCCTGTCTTTGTTCTCCGGGAAAGCCAGATAAAGGCTTCTGTACAGATGGTGCTCCGGAACCTGGATAATCAGGTCGCTGGGTTTCAAAAGGCACTTGTGTACCTGTAGGTGTTCCAGATTGGGCTAAGTTGGGGTAGCCACCAGATGATTGATCGGTTCCAAATGGTCCTGAAGTGCCACTGGATGTTCCAGGTTGTCTTGAACCGGAATAACCAGATGAAGGTTGCTGAGTACCTCCAGCAGTTCCAAGTTGAGATCCACTGGGGTAATTACCAGATGATTGGGTGCCAAAGGTTCCCGTAGTGCCACTGGGTGCTCCAGGTTGTTTTGAACTGGGATAGCCACCTAAAGGTTGTTGGGTACCACTAGGTATTCCAGGTTGAGGTCCATTAGATGGTTGCTGAGTTCCAAAAGGTCTCTGAAAACCACTAGGTTCTCCAGATTGTCCTGAACTAGGAAAGCCAACAAAAGGCTGTTGGGTTCCACTAGGTGTTCCAGGTTGAGACCCACTAAATGATTGCTGTGTTCCAAAAGGTCTTTGAGATCCACTAGTTACTCCAGGTTGCCCTGAACCAGGATAACCCGTGAAAGATTGAGTTTCGCTAGGTATTCCGCTGGGGTGACTGCCAGGTAGTTGTTGGGTTTCAAATGGGTTTGGAGTGGCACCGGATGCTCCGGGTTGTCCTGAACTAGGGAAAATTTGCTGAGCACCACTTGGTATTCCAGGTTGTATTCCACTAGGATAAGCTCCAGTTGCTTGCTGGGTTCCAAAAGATTTTTGAGTTTCAGCAGGCGCACCAGGTTGTTGTAAACCAGAGTATCCAGCGGAAGGTTGCTGATCTTCAAGTTGAGTTGCACCGGATGATTGCTGGGTTCCAAAAGGTAAGGTACCAGAGGAGGAAGCAGGTTGAGCACCTTGAGTTGTATCTGTTGACAATCCTCCAATAAATTTAGGTCGTCTGTTGTCCACAAAGGGAGTTTTTGGCTTAGGGTAGTTGTAGCCTTGTTGAGCCTAAAACATTTGTAAGTTTTTTAAGATTACATAAAACCGAATAACGATTGATGAACAAATTAGTGTTTTATCTACAAGGTGTATCATATGTATATGTATCTTACCTCTATACTCCCCACAATCATAAGCAGCACTGTAAATAAACAAAATAAATTAAATTATACCTTTTTATATTTCAAATAAATTTTCTATCAAAAAGTCTTATGGGAAGTGATAATATCACATAAATAATGCGATTATAATTGCTTAAAAAAAGAAATATCAATATAAATCGACATTTCTATTCTTTCCTATGTGAATGAACAAGATCTAGATTCAATATGTGAAATTGGAACAAAATAATTACGGTATTGTTCTGTTCAACATTATTCAATGAGAATTCAATAATGCCGATATAATACTAATGAACTTTGCATGTTTTAATAAAATTACATATTTAAGAAGAAAATATTAGACGCTTATAGCAAATGTTTTAATAAATGACACTAATTTATTTTTTCCTGAATAAAAACATGAATTTTACGATTAACAATAATATTTTCTTTTTATGTAAACACATCCCGAAAAGTATTTTTTTATAAATCGGAATATTTCGATGCTTACCTAAGCCTAGACGTAACCAGTCCATGTTGAGATCCTGAAACAAATTCAAAATATGTATTATAAACTATATAATTTTGGTATTACATAGAAAAACAAATTATTTCATTATTTCTATTAGATGACAAAATTTTAAATATACAAGGTGTTTGTAAATAAGTAAATATTATAAATAAGTCGAAATATTTTAGGGGGTGGTTCAAAATATGCTTCGTTTCCGAGATATAGAGCGTTTAAGTTTTAATTTTTTATTTATTTTTATTAATTATATCAAAGATTTTAAAGATATTTACTCGAAATTTGAGAATCATTTTGGAGAGATAAATGTGCGTATTTTGGGGTGATCTGAATATTCCTACTTGCACCAGTGGCGTTCGTGCGAGAATGCCACAACGTTTTTTAATAAAAAAAAATGGTTCGCCACTGACCCTTTCCCGTTTTCGTATTTTTTTAAAAATCCGCCATCAATTCTGAATAAAATTGGTCTCTTCAATTTTTTTCGTAGGATGCACCGTTTTTTAGGAAAAAATAAAACATATTTTATTGCAAGTTGTATATTTTTAATTTCTATTGATACATTATCTAGTAGGTTGCTGTCAATATTTCTAAATAAAATATAACCATTAAATTTCGAGTCAATATCTTTAAAAAACTGAAATAATTTATAAATATAAATAAAAAATTTAAATTTAAACACCCTGTATCTCGGAAACGAAGCATAGTTCAACCTACGTTTATATGAACTTATTTTCACAAAATAACTTCGGCAACCACCCCCTAAAATATTTCGCACTTATTTACACCCTATATACAATTCCTTAAAAAGAATCGAAGGATTTGAATTTTTAAGGAAATTAAAAAACTACAATTTATTAAAGCAAAGGTTATTGTACTTTAATGATACTAATATTTTCAGACGATTTATTAATATAAAATACATTTTCTATCTAAAATAATGAATTATTATGCCTTCAAAAATAGCACTTTCAAACAAACACCATAAGTAGCAATGGAATACTTTGTACCCAATCTTTTAAAAGTTGATTTGGTCAAGGTAAACGGTTATAATATAGATAAATTCTTTTGAAAACTTTCCTTTCTTTCGATTTCATGATAAAAATTAGCACGAAATACTCAGTAATTAAATATTTCTGAACTTTTATGTTGCATCTTACAGTTCAATTTATTCATGTGTCTTTTCAAATAGTTAATAACATAGCATTTCATCATTACCGAAGATCGAAGCAAAAAATGGCAAATTATAGCTCATTAGGGATATAATTAGAGAATTTAAAGAATTATATTCTCTACTTGAATAAATATTAATATTATATTAAAAAATCTAGTTGTTAGTGTTAAATTGACCTGTTTCTGTTCCATTGGTGTACTAATAATTTTTAAATAATTAGGTATATAAAAAAAAATAAATTTCACAACTATGTGGACTTATCCGCAAAGCATACTATGCTAATAAAAATTTGCTAATAAATGTCTTGCCATTATCCACGTTTAAGGTTATTAAAATTACATCTCTGCTCTGTATCTACGCCACTGGTTATTCTATATTTTCGGCGATACTACTAACTTGTGTTCCAATTCGAATTATTTAATTTTTGAACTTCGAAAGTGCCGTACTTCCATAAACAGTTTCGACTAACCAAAATTTTATAAAAAAAGAAGTAATTTTTCCGAACTTATTACCGTAGTACGCTTTACGATATGCAATTTCAGACCAGATGAAAATATACAGTTTAAATTGACTTTTTTGAAATTAAATTCATTTGATGAAAAAAAGATTTTTATTTAGGGAAACTGAAATCAGTCTTCTTGGTTTTAATATTTTAAAACGAAAGAGTTGCAAATCTATATTCCACATTACACATTTTTCTATAAAAAATATACAAGTGTACTTTTCCATTATATGATGCTTAATTTTGTTTAATTCTATTGCCACTAAACTAGTACATCCACTTTTTCCAAAATTTATCCGATCACTAAAAATATCAACGGAAATACACGAAAAACCAAACCGAAACTTTTGAACAACTAACCTTAGCCAAACAAGCCACTATTCTACAAACTAATGAACTGCTTTCGTGATTATCATCGCCAGCTTTTATATCGATCAACCCCAAAGGAGCATCTTCATGTCAGAAGTCACCCACCTCCGAAAATTGCAATATTAGACGACCGAGAGGAAGAGGGGGTTATCTCGAAGGTAACAGAGACAAATCTACAAGATATTCTTGTTTAATAGATCATTCGTGTACGTAAATAGGTAATCTTCGTTGGTGGATTACTCTCATCGCTTGCAGAGGTTTTTTTACAAGCAATATATGCAGGATATTTATGGGGAAATTGTTTATGGGTACGATAGTACATTGTTATCGTATAAGGATATTTTGCTTCTGTGTGGCGGTCGTGCAATATGTAGTTATTGTATAACGGTTGTTCTAAATCACATCTTTTGTAGTGACTTTTATACATACATAATTATTCAAATGTGGTTAGCTTTGTATTCTAATTTTGTAAGTCGTCTTCAATAGATTTTTAAAACATATCAAGTGTACCAGGAGTCTCAAAAGCATGGGCTGTTAAAAAGGCTGTAAAAGAGAAAAAAAATGGTTTCAAAAAATTTTTTGATAGAAAGTAAATAGTAATATTTTTGGTACAAAGTTTGTTCAAAAATATAAGAGATATTTCGTATAGAACGTTTTTTAAACTTGTTTTATATGTACCAGAGGATAAATTACCTAATTTGATACATATATTTAAATTGCGATACATTTTCTAGTTTCCACTAATTGGCCAAAAAATTGAAGGCCATAGAACTGGTTATAATTTATTGGGCCATTTTAGCCATTTTTCGTTACGTTTAATGTTTATTCAACAGTACAGTGATGTCGAGGTTTTAATCAGGAATATTCATTGAAATGTTTGTTTCGTTTTCGAAATACAGGGTGTTTAAATTAAAAATATACAGGGTGTCCCGTTCATGTTTCAAAAAAATTTGTGTGCAAGTTCCTCATGGAAAAATAATGGAGGTAGTTCATGTTCATTATGTTAAAGTTGTTACTTTCCAAATGGTTTTCTTTAATTATCTTTAAATCGGCTAAAGATAAAAATATCAAAATTTGTACACGAGTAGACATCAACTGTGCAATAAGAATAATGTGCAAACGGTTTCTTTCTGAAAGCAGTGTCGCCGATACAGATAATTGGAGGGTACAATCGAAAGAAAAATATGTTAAAAGTCAAAATTTTGTTATATTTCTAAACGGTTTTGTAAATTCTAAAGCATACTACAGAAAAAAGTTATACTTGTCGAAATTCGGCAACATGTACCATTTTTGACAAAAATGAAGTTGCATAGAAGCAAATGGGGGACAATTTCAATCTACTGTAATATTTCGAGTTTTGCTCATTTATTTAATTGTTCAGCTTTTTTGTTCTGTCTGTCTTCGAGTCTGTTTCTTAATACTTTCTATTCTTATCACTTTTTTAATCATTCATGTCCATAAAAGGCTAATTAAATAAACAATAATATTGAGTTCTAATTTAAAATAATTAAGTATAAGGAAATGCATTTTTCATGTATTTTCTGGTAAATTTTACTGTGGTTTTCATTTATACGAAAAGAGATTTTCTGAATGAAAATTTTGCGCTAGTTCTCGCATGCTGGTGCATTTTGAAGTGGAATCTTTGAACCAATGACCACTTCTTGAGAACATTAAACTGAAAACAAAATATACTGTAAGTAAAACAATAAGTAATATAAGTCTTAAAAATGTTGTCTGTATTTGGATGTCTGTATGTAAAAGTTTGACAGAATTCAATATGGTAATTATTTCTCATATTCATCAATGTCTTTAAAAGAAGTCAAACATCTTGAAAACATTTTGTATCTCTACATAACATGTCCATAAAACAGTTTCTTTAAAATTGTTCGTGCTGTTCCGGCTTATCTTTATTTACTCAGTTTTTATTTTAAAAGTTAACAGCCTTAAATTTGATTAATAAATCGACCGTTGTCTGCTAAATCGCAGCACCCGGTATTATAAAACCAACGTGACCTAACTGATTATGAATCGAATGTGTTGCCACAACTTATTTATGTGTTTATTATGTCAAAAATTGATAAGTATAAAACAGATATAAAACTTTGTTTCTAACGAATAAAATATACATTTCGACAACTTGTCGCTGATTTATAGAAAGCTCGGGGAAACAAGAATAAAATAATTGATAGTTCATTGTCGTTTTTTTAACTTCTTTTAATCTATCTATGTCTATTAGACTATAGAGTTGTGTTTACGACACATACAAAAAATTTGCAATCTTAATGTTTATTTGACCATGTACATATATGCGTACATCAACTAGATAAAGGTAAAGGCAAGATCGTGCTTAATGGATAATACTATTTATCATTAATTAATATGTTAAAATAACAATTCTGCAAATCCCGAGATACACTCAACAACAATGAAATGGCAACGATGAAGAAATATTGGCAATATAACATTCGTTATTCAATGAAACTAATTTTGAAGTAAATATAGTTTTTAGGATGCCGTTTATGATTTTTTATATAGACAATGTTTTAAAAATAATTAGCAACTTTTATTTTCTATTAAATGGCGGAGTCGCCGGTTTAAAGAAAATTAGCTCTCATTCTATAAAATCTAGGTTTCGTTCAACAATTTTTGTCTGAAATGTTATTTTCAATTGTTTTTACTAGGAACAAAGCACTTTTGTCATATTGTAGTCTGAATAGTCGCGTTAAATAGATAGAAAAGATATTAACGACTGGACGTACATTTTATATCAGTAAAGCCAAAATTAATATCAATAAATAAACTACTTTCAAGCATAAAAGTATCTAACAAAAAGAAGTATTAAAATATTAAAATGTGCTAAAATATAAAATTCTGAACTATATTTTTACAATTATTTCCCACATTTGAGAATAAAACCGTTTCTGGTGTGTTAGCTTTCCTCCATCCTATATATATTTTTTACATGCACAGACTTGTT